GTAACTTCGAACAGTCACTAAGCGAGCTGTTGTAAGTCGAGGACTACCTGTACTTTATCACTTTTTTGCTTTTTTTTTTTTTTTTGGTCATCAAGTTTTTGACACCTTGCTAGGCGACTGGTGATACTCGGATGTTGCCATATCCTAAAGGTGGTACAATGGGTGAAAAGGTTGAAAAGCCCTGAATTAGACGATACTGGGGGGGGGGGAGGAGGAGGAATGTGCGTGGGAGTTTAGTTAGACATAACAATGTTGTAACTAGCGTGAGAACCAAGGTTTTTTGAAATAAGAGATGATAAGAAATGGCAGGTTGAAGAACTGGAGGGAAAGCCTGCATTTCAAACTAATTGGAGAATGTGATTTATGACTGCTAACTAGAGGAGGGAATTGTGCTTTGATACTATGTGCTCAGGGGAGGGGAATTCAGATATTGGCTTTGCCTATGTACGTGCCCATGCTATGCTACTCGAATAAAGAGTCTTTAAGGTAAACAATGCCTCGAAGTTCTTTGAAGAGTTTCATCTGTCGGAACCATGACAGGAATGACAGACACCGGAGTGAAATCCTCACAGCTTTGCCAAGGAAGTGTGGTTTTTTTTTAATAAAATAAGTTATATTAATTCTTTTTAAAATTAAAATAAACTGCTTCTGGACTCAAAGACATTCGTGCATACTTAAAAAAAAAAAAAAAACAGCCAGGAGCCACACTCTTCCCCTGCCAGCCCCACCCTCCTTCTTAAAAAAAATACTCCTTCAGCTTCTGGTGCAAAACGAAGCAGAAGAAACTATAATAGCTGCTTTGCGAAATATTCTCTTTTTCTAAGCGTTTGGAGATTTACGGCAGAGTGCACGAAGGGATGGATTAAGGGGTGGATGCAGAATTTGCCATTGCTTCAGAGCGGTTTCTTTACAATGGTCAAGAGTCCAGGACGTCTTCCTCGTCGCTCCAATTCGGCGGGGCGTCCGTGCCAAAGTAACGGTCTCCAAAATTTCCTAGAAAGCAGCAGGAGAAACAAGGAGATTCACATTTATGGAGTAGGAT